TGATACCATTTTAGGAATGAAGGTCAATTAAATTTAATATTGATATCTACACTCGCACTAGTTTTATTGCCATTTATGATGTGAAATAAACATCTAAAAGAAAATTTTACTAGAAAAAAATCCACTCGTACTTAGCAGGACGGGACTCAAACCCGCACCCTCTGCTTTTCGGGCGGATCCACTGACTATTATGCTACCGCGGCCCTAATTGTCCGTGTCGAATTTTCACTTGTATTTCTTAGGATTCTAGGCAACACTATCTGACCACATATATATAGATATAGTATTCTAAATTTAAACATAAATGCTTAAAAAATTGAAATAAAGATGCTAATAAAATCAAATTATATCCATCACCATAGTCTTGTAAGCTCCTTTTTATATAATATCTCTTTACTATAGGAATATTTTCTATTATATCTATATACTTAGTACACTCTATAAACTTTGTTATCTATAACAAAATTTGGAAAATCTTTAAACCGCACACGCATATTTACTTTTGGTACCTACATCCGTTTAAAAACATTTTTGTAGAAGTCATAAAAAACACACTCGATTGAGTGCGTACCATTAAATGAAACAAGCAAACAATTTTTATCTTACGAGTAAATCAAGTAGGCCCAAAGCAAACCCTCTTAATATTCATCGGTAAACATATTTCAGTCCTAAACCGTTATTAATCCAACGTTAAGTCAATTAGGCGTCGAGGCCCTGATTAAGGCCGGGAAATAGGTAGGATACACGCGGAAATAAGAGAGGGGGCGCGACGGCTTGGAAACTCGAATCTCTTCGCGGTTTGCGCCCTTTGGTCTAATGGACTTGTATTAGATGCGGGTTTATCAATTTCCATAGCAGCGAATAGTTAATTTATCGGTTAAAGATTCAAAATTAAACGGCGTGGCTAATGATACCTGGACTGGGCGTTTGGAATTTCAATTAGACTACGTAACAGGGAAGTGATAAGAAAGGTGGGGTCCAGCAGGTTTTCCACTCAAATTGGAGCGCTCCTTGGGGAAAGTAATACTGCAGACTAATAACACTATTCTTTGTTCCTGGAGCAGCTGCACAAGGTAAGATAGGGTAGCGTAATTAAAAGGCGTGGCTAATAATACCTGGACTGGGCGTTTGGAATTTTAATTAGACCACGTAACAGAGAAGTGATAAGAAAGGTGGGCTCCAGTAGGTTTCCACTCAAATTGGAGCGCTCCTTGGGGAAAGTAATACTGCAGACTAATAACACTATTCTTTGTTCCTGGAGCAGCTGCTCAAGGTAAGATAGGATAGCGTAATTAAAAGGCGTGGCTAATAATACCTGGACTGGGCGTTTGGAATTTTAATTAGACCACGTAACAGAGAAGTGATAAGAAAGGTGGGCTCCAGTAAGTTTCCACTCAAATTGGAGCGCTCCTTGGGGAAAGTAATACTGCAGACTAATAACACTATTCTTTGTTCCTGGAGCAGCTGCTCAAGGTAAGATAGGATAGCATAATTAAAAGGCGTGGCTAATAATACCTGGACTGGGCGTTTGAAATTTCAATTAGACCACGTAACAGAGAAGTGATAAGAAAGGTGGGGTCCAGCAGGTTTTCTACTCAAATTGGAGCGGGAAAGTAAGACTGCAGACTAATAACACTATTCTTTGTTCCTGGAGCAGCTTCACGAGGTAAGATAGGGTAGCGTAATTAAAAGGCGTGGCTAATAATACCTGGACTGGGCGTTTGAAATTTCAATTAGACCACGTAACAGAGAAGTGATAAGAAAGGTGGGGTCCAGCAGGTTTTCTACTTAAATTGGACCGGGAAAGTAAGACTGCAGACTAATAACACTATTCTTTGTTCCTGGAGCAGCTTCACGAGGTAAGATAGGGTAGCGTACGCAACACTTGAATGATGCTGTATGATGGCCGCTTGTCGCAACATTTTTTCCTTCACCCTTTAACATACATACATAATGGTGCGTTTGACGACCTCAGTGGCCGAGTGGTTTGTACGCCGGGTGTCATGGTGTGGCTGACTCGAGAGGTCCCGGGTTCGAATCCCGGTGGGGGCAGATGTTTGTGTGATGAATACGAGCATTTATACTCCAGTCATGGATGTTTAATATGTGTTTCTATGTAAATATACTTATATTTGTAGAGGTATATGTATTCTATCCGTTACCATAGCATCCCATAACACAAACCTTACAGTGCTTACTTTGGGGCTAGGCTAATTGGTGTGTGTTGGAAATATTTATTTATTTAATTGTGTCGATTCTGACATAATTCTCTTAAACTAAACTTAAATTTGACAACTGTATGTCCTTGTCATTCTCTAAACAGAATGAAAAGGAGAGACTGATGTTAAATTAAGTTTTAAGTTTAGAGAATCATGCCAGAATCGACACCAATGTTTGTATTTTATAGCTATACGTGCGTAAAACAAAAGGCCACGTATTGGTAAAGACTTAAAAAGCACACGCTACTTCAGTTTTTGCCTTTGATATCATTAAAAAGGTGAGCGTTTAACAATTTTCATGGACTATTCATGAAAGTTTCACGATGGATTGGTTTACACTGTACAAATGACATACTTCAACTAACAACTCAAAAGTGAGACACTCAATTCATTTGATTAACAAAACATGCATTGACGGTTTAGCTAAAACTGATCTTTCTGAGATCAGCAAGCTTTTTTATCACTTTTCAACAATATATCATAGTTATAATGAGCGAATTTCATTCAGATCGTTTTATATTGCAAATAGGACGAACGAGTTTGGAAAAGCGACGCGGTGTAAACTTAGAATCGCATCGTCATTTGCGTCCTTATACTAATGGGACCCCATTAGTGCAGCGCAGCAATGTGTCCTGTTATCGATACTTCAAAAAAATATTTATTAGTCAATCGAAAACAGGAATTCGCATTACAGGTCATGGACTGAAAAAAAATCTTATGTACTTCATTCAGACAACGAACCATCATCATCGGCCTATTTTATATCCCCAAAGCTAGTGTATAGCATTTCTCTCTTGAATGAATATAATAAACCAGTCACCCATACGATCCCAGTGCGGACTGATAGATGTTAACGTTAAGGTTAACGTTACTATCTATTTTGTGACTAAAGCTTGCCTTCTGAACCAAGGAGGAGATCAAAACACCTTTTATTCTTCTTCCAACGATCGGCAACAGCGCAAATTGTACAACTTCTATGACAGCTGGCTGAAAGCGACAGCGATGGCGCCATTGAGCTTAGGAATACTTCGTAGGTATTTGAAACAATGATTCTTTATTAAAAACCACGATGCAAGTGAACCTTTTAAAATAATCAATACAAAATAGTCCTTCCTCGGTTGGGATTCAAACCTGGGCCGTCCGTGTAGCAGGTGAGATTTCTGCCACTGAACCACCGATGCTTGATAAAGTCTGTTTTTTTACAACAATCAAAAATGAAATGCGAAATGCTAAAGATTACCCAAAATATTTGAAACTATGTTATAAAAGTTTTACCTTAATATGTTTAATACTAAACTTTTAATAAATGAAAATCTTTGTGATTTACTGAATCCGTACAATTTTACATTTACAATATATACCTACTGTATTAGCGTGGTGTAGCAAATCCATGACATAAATACTTAAGCAATATCTTTTCATTACAGTGATTATAATCTAAATCTTACTAAACTCAAAGGAGTATCGACTCGATGCAATCCTGACCTCTCCCTTATGCTGTAGTTATAACGAAGGTGCAAAGTGCCCTCGAACCCCGTCCGAAGCGAGTGCGATGCCAACTCCTAAAACGAGTTGTATATGTCAAGTATTCTCGTGAGATCATTCTTCGAGTCCTCTATGATTTTCGGCCAGACCGAGGCAGGGTTGAGCTGACTCACGATCTATAATTGAATTTCTGCCCTGAATAGATGCTTACTCTTTGTAAAGCTAGGAATAAGTATGAGTAATGAGATTACTGCCGTCTACCATTATAACATAGGCACATACGTGTGTAGTTTTCGAGAACATTAAACGGGCTGCGTACGAAAAGTCACGTTGTATAGGTCAAGTTAGTAGCAGTCGCCAATATTCGTTGTAGCGTAGTGTAAGAAGCTTGTCATGCTTAACTGTACGCAAAATTTTAGTCACAGTTAGATTTGCACAATATACCTGTCAAAAATCACAACGAACGTTTTTTGCCTACTGCACTATATTTCAGGCATTTTTTGGAAAAAAAATATAAATTTCTGCATGCATGTATTGAGGCGAACTTTGGAAAAAATACCCTAATGGAAATCAATACCGGTACACTGTAACGACAGTAGGTACGCCTCACAAAAGGAAATAAAAAGGTTTGACCAAGTTACATTATTTATTTTTACGGACTGGCACGCCTTCAACATAAAAATTGTAAAAGGTCTGATGCAGGAGACGAAAAGAATTAAATAAAACTAAAGCATAAATTAAGAATGAAATTCAAAGCATTATCTTGGTATCGCCTCCTAGATTTATTTTTCTTTACTATGTAGTACCGTCTGTGCGACAAGCCAGACCGCACTTTCTTCGGCGATAACAGGACGATTCAGATCGAACTTCACTTAGGTAAGTTCGTAAACGGTAATTCAAAAATTTTTAGAAAACAGCTAACTTTTGCAGAGTAAATTAATGAAATATCTAAGTCGACTTTACCTGTAATCGTGTATAACTCTGAAATCATCAAAAATATACTATGTCATTTAAAATCACAAAGAACTTATATTTTATTCCATTTTTAAATAAGACCCAGTAAACTGATCTACCCGCCCTAGGGCAAGAATCTATTCAGATTCCAGTTGCGGAAATAATAATAATAATAATAAAAGCATTTATTTCAGACATGAGATCCATATCAACATTATAAAAAACAATACAACAATTACATAATGTAACTCCCTCACTTTGCCTGTCTTAAACTATTTGCCCTAATATTTTTTAATGAAGCACTGAATAATTTGTGTTCTTATAAATTCTTCTTTGTTACAGATCCGGAGCGCTCAGGAAATCGAAAGGTGAGATTTTTTTATCGAAATAAAACCTCAACATACCTTAAAAAAATAACACCCGCAAGAAAGAGCCATCGTATATTTTTCAATAAAGGTCACCATCATTTTCTTTCAGTCATTAATTTAGCTATTGTGACGCACCGTTATCGACTTGCTAAGGGCTGTCGACTTTTAATTGTGTTTCAAAATGTACAACATTGGTTATGGATGTTTTTCTGTCAGTTTTGATTTATTACTCGTGTAGTATTCGTAAGATGGGTGTATGAGTGCAAAAAACTTCTCAAAAATTATAAAGAACTAGTGGTGCCCTGCAGTTTCACCCGCGTTAATATGAAGGAACAGTTTAGAGCTACTGCTCATCCTTAAAGGATAGAAGTATGCCTTTGCGGCCGTTTTTTATAGATTTTTTAAAGGGGAACAATTCCGTGATACGTGATTTTTGGGTAACTTTTACTGTTTACGCAGTGCAAACAACGGAAGCTCTTAGATGAAAGCTATTCACCCGTTTTTGATAACCAATCATTTTTTATTGGTGCCTCCTATCAGTTGTTACATTATGTTATATAGTCTATAGAAATCATCGATGAATGCACTATTAAACTCAAAAAGATTGTTTAAAATCGGACCAGTAGTTTATGAGATCAGCGCGTTACACAAAAATAACAAACAAACGATGTCTTCACCTTTGTAATATTAGTATAAATGTGTTATTTGATGTCGTGACAAGATATTGGTTGACCACTATTTAGATAATAGACTTTAGTTGTATAGTCCCTAGTAAACCCAAGTAGATTGAATCTTAATACTAAGAAATTTTTTGCATCTCTTTCTGATATTCGGTAAGTGCGATTTCATTAGACAAAGATGAGTAACACCGACTATTCAAAAATATTCATTAATTATTTTGACGGTGAACAAAGTTCAGCAGCCCTTATTCGTCTCAATCAATTGACCCAACCGATGAAAAGTGAGGGTCCAAGGATCGGGCACCCGAAATCATTTACTTCCATTGTAACAAATACGATTGTATCTAATAGCAGCCCCCTCCATTGAAATAACTGATAAATTTAATGATGCCGTACTTACTCAACGTTCTCTTTATTGAATTTTAAATGACGTTAATGGAATGGTCTCACTTTTTATTATTGTAACGTGAATGATGGTTTTGATATGTCCATTTTCATTTTTATTGAACAAATTAAATAGACATTAGCTTTTTTGATGTCTTAAGGTAGGTGATATTAAATCGAGCATACATATCACGCAAACATGATTAAAAATTTTCAACAATGTTAAAAGTTATAAAGCAAAATAGATTTTTAAGTAACACATCTATCTACGAACGAAATACGCCGTCGTTAACTTAGGTTAATTTACCACAACTAACGAATACTGTAAAAAATCTTAATTTTAAAATTTAGAGGTATCTTGTTAACTTATACACCGGAATTAAAGAACAAAGAAAATTTAGAATACAGGATTTTGGAAAAGTAGATTGTATTTTTATTACAAATAAATTACTTGGTACCTAGTCACTTTTGAAGTGTATTTTAATAAAAAAAACGTTCTGCTAAGGAATTTTCCTAGTCATCTGAGACGACTGAAGCCAAAAAACAGTATTTTGAAGTCGTTGGTATTTGAAGTGAGTTTCGGTCAGATTTCCATGAAGTAGGCTAGTAAGTGCATCTGATTATGATGGTGACTAGTGACGCGGTGGTATACACAATTTGCGTAATTTTAAAGTTTGTCCTTGACGCTCCACTGACTTTTTCATGTAAATGGAAGACTATATATAGATCGTTTTAGCTTTTATCTGTATGATAATAAAGAAGATGGTACTTATAGGACATTATAATAAAAGATATAAATAAAACCAATTCTTATTTAACTAATAAACGAGTGTCTTACAATTGGCAATCTAAATAAAATTGGAAAATGTGTCCCGTTTTACCATAAGTAACGAAAAATGGGAAAGGATTCAATTGGCTTCTTTGTTACATATTCATTGAAGAAATAAAGTTAACATGCGTTAAGAATGAGTTTTAAATCATGTTATGGCTCCTTTACAGTATGGGCCACCGCGATGATCCTCTATGATGGGCCAGCGTGTGGAGGCTGTTGTGAAGTCGGATGGCTGGTGACCTATTTATACAGAATGCTTGCCAAAAGCCGAATATTTAGTTAAAAATTTAATTAAAATAATTTTATTTTCTCTTACCTAAAATGAAGACATTTTTTTCTTTTTTACCACAGCATGTGAAACATCTCTATCTAGACCTTGTTGAGTAAGATATAAATATAATTTATATTATTTTTATTTACAATAACAAATAAATGAATTGCCGCCAAATTTGTAATATTAAAACCATTTTTGTTATGGGATCCATCTCAAAATAAAATTTAGTTAAGAATGTGCAATATTAGTATATGATATCTCACATTGTTGCTTTATTTAAACAACAAATTTTGAAAACATTCATCTTGAAAAACGTTAAATCACAACTGAATGTCGCATCATGCAGTTTGAAACATAGTAGGACCATCACGCTGGGCCTGGTTTGATACTTATTGTTCACGAAATCGAGTACGTACGCAGAGGCAATTTATTGACGACATCTCTGTATTTAGGGCACTCAATCCTATCGTTTTGAAGGAGGTTCGGTGACCGATACAAAGGATGTCAGCGGTTATTCTATTATATCAAGTGACTTTATTGAATTCTACACGAATCCGAGTGCTAAACAGGATTCTGGACACGTGTACGATACAAAAGAAGTATATTAAATTCTCGATTACAATATCCATAACTACAAGTCACAACTTACTATCTAAAATATATAATTTTCTAGGAGATTACTTCATAACTCTATATTAAACTTGCAAGTAGGTCCACAACTTTATACACAAAAACTTTATACTCAAAAAAATCTAAGCTGCTGAGAGATAAAGATTTCAACTACGATGGTCATTTTTTTATATTTATGTCAGATTTCTTTTCTATAAATATTGTCATTGTTTTCAAATCTCAATTTATTTAATATTTTAGTTTTTTCGAACGTTTAACAAAATGAACTTGGGGCAAAATCTCTTCGCGGTCGTATTACGAACATATTAAGACAGCTGACTTATTCGTTTAAATATTTTATTCACAACATGAACTATACACATAGAGTATTCGTATCCTGATCTATTACCATTGTTGCGTCTTTGTCATTTCTTCTCCCAAAGCCCTTTGAAACGTTGCGGAGCTTAAGCCCGCTGTATATGGATTTAAGAGCGTAACAAGCCCTATTTTCTTGTTGGATAGGCATTTGTGTCTCATGTTTTATTTTATTTATATTGAAATTGGCTTAAATTGGGATTCCCTCTCAAAAGTTTTCGATTTCATCTATTCATGTTTTATATTTACGATGCAAAATAATCTGGATTCTGAATTCCTTATTACTATTTATAAAACGTATTTTCGAATAATTAATTCAACAATTTTAATTTCCGAAGGTCGTTTACTCGTATAATATTAACACTTGTCATACAAATTCTGTCATCATTCATTCAATTTGTATACGAAAGTACAACACGAGTGAAAGCATTCCTTTCAATGAGTTTATACAAATTTCGATAGCAGTTCACCAATACTCCAAAACTGAATTCGAGGCCTTTTCACACACACCACACGTAGGTGTCTTCTGTTCAAAAAAGATAATACCTGCTTACTGCCAGGGGAATACGGTGAAAAAATACGTGACGCTCGTTCAACGTTGTGATCGAATCAGAAATGCGGAATATTCCAGTGAATTTACTGTGACTAGGTAAAACATTAGGGGATGTTAAAGAAGGTTCATACCTACGTGTGCCTTATAGATAAGTAGATAGATGTAGAAGCTACTGCACGTGACTGACATTATTTTAGCGAACAGAATGAAATATGGGCCGTCTCTTTCGGAAGACTAGAGAGCAAAATGAGAATATTGTAAGCATGAATGGCATCGCTAAGTATTCGGTGGCAGATAGTTATAGTAAAAGTCGATCAATGGATATATGGCAGTCTTTGAAGCTATTTTCAGCGATGGGCTACGAATATCTGACACTCTTATACGAGGAACATTAATTAACTTCGCTCGCAAAAAAATCTTTCCTAGATGCTCTACATGGATTTTCAATTTGGAAGACCGACTAAATGCTATTTTTAAAGTAACGTTATTGAATGTTCGCCAAAATTTAACATCTTAAGCCTAAATTACGTAAAAATAAATACTATCTCAACATTAATTCGCAGTTATCGAATCCTTACACCGAAAACAAAGTAATACCTTAATTAAAAATTACCATAAAACTTGCATCCATTTTATGTGTTCTTCATTATTAAAACAGAAAATCAAAAAACAAAACACATTTATTCACTATTAAAACAGAAGCCATAAATTTTATCTGATTCGCAATCGTAAAGTTAAGGCCAGAGATATGTTGAATATCATGGGATTGAAGATAAAAAATCCCGGGTTTGATCTTGTTTTGAGTCTGACCTTTCAATTTGATCTCTTCTAGGATCAGCCAAAAAACAATTAGTGCAAATCTTTCAATTTTGACTTTAGCCATGATTTCTTGAAGAACTTAGATTTGATTAAAAAACCTAGAAGCGCCGAGCGAAGCACAAAAAATAATAATCATATGCATTTAAAATATTGTACATTTTGGGAAGAAATCCAAACAGAAGTGAGGACCAAATTACTCGTTCTACTAACCTGAAGAGGAACGCTAAACTTATATTCAAACCAGTATAACACGATTGCATTTCAACCACGAGCTATTCACAAGATTGCATCAAGGTCATACAGCTCCGACGATTCTTGATGTCAATCGTCAGCCAATAGGAAATGAGCTGCTCAATTGTCATGACGTACTCCTCAGAGAACTTTGTTAGTATGCTGCCAAGTGAGGCAACGAAGCTCAGTTTAAATTGGTTTGCTAACATAAAGAACCGCTACCGTATGCTTTTAATAGAGGTT